AAACAAAGCTTGGTTGAAAGTAGTCCTACCAAAGTCTTTGCCATTGATCCTAATACCCAACAGGTGTACTCTCTCTCTCTCTCTCTCTCTGTGTAAAAAAGTTGTTTTTCTACTTTATATGAACTGATCTATAGGAATGGCTGCTGGCGTCTGTGGGGATGGATGGTGAGAGTGCTTCTTGGCTTATGTAATGGGTTTGTTTTGTCTTGCCCTGTGATAATGAGGTTACTTTTCATTTGGGTGAGAGTGCTTCTTGGCGGCTGGTGTCTGCAGGGAGGTGTCTTAATGATTTGGCTGTTTCATAAATCATAATCTTTCCAGCCAAAAAAAAAGAGATCACAATCTTCAAAATCTGCAATTTTCTGTCTTATGTTAACATGATATGGAGTTTATGGTAGATTCTTGATGGTTTAATTAGAGTTCATGGATTATTCATTTCCTGAACTGAGAAATTATAATGTGGCAGTTATGGTCTATGGAGACATGAATCTGCTTTATTGAAGAGGTTTCTGAAAGTTTCATTCAGAAACTTATTTACTTTATTTTATATTGTGTGTTGGTAACTAATCTATCTTGAGCCTCTTATGCTATACTTTTATTTATTTTGGTATTCCAGTCAAACGTGATGAGTCAACTTCAAAATCTTTTCATCTTTGTTGTAATATATGTAATTTTGATATACAGGTTGTAGTGGATGATCCAGAGGCATATACCTACGATGATGAAGTGTTGAAGAAAGTAGAAGCTATGGGTAAGCCTGGGCTTATTGAGATACACCCAAAAGAAAACAGTTTCATTTTCATGGTCGAATCTACTGGTGCTATTAAGGCTTCTCAGCTGCTGCTTAATGCCATAGAAGTCCTCAAACAAAAGCTTGATGCTGTTCGCCTGTGTGAGGATACTGTGGAAGCTGATGATCAATTTGGTGAACTAGGAGCTCATATGCGAGGAGGATGATGCTGTAAGCTGAACAGATCAACTGCACTGTATTGGGAAGAAATGTTCATAAGCTAACTTTAATGTTCTTTTGGATGTAAGCTGTAGCGTGTAGATGCTAACTTGTTTTCCACTCAGTCTTTCTGTGTCTATGCTCTCTAATTGACTACCATTGTCAAAGTGGTTCTCATGGGGAGACATGCTGCCTATATAAAACAAGCGTACAGGGCATTAGTTAGCATTTGCCATGTTGTTTGGCTCGTACTCACTTGTTTTACCTTGCTAAAACCAGAAATCTTAGTTTGATTTGCGTAATTTTCCTGTGTTATAATTTACCGTATCTCTTTTTTTTTTTTTGAACATTCATGAGAATACCGTATCTCTTTTGAATATTATATTAGTTGGAAAACCGATTATACAAATTGGCATGCTTTCAACTTGCTGAGATTTTCAAGTTTCGCTGAAGTCCGACCTGAAAAATGATGACTTCAGGGATCAAGTGATTAATTGTGAATAATTTTGCGTTATTGAAATATGGTAATGATTTTTGCTTACATGGTTATCTCTTGTTGACTAATCTAGGTTTTGATTTGGTTTTTGACTTAAGAAGCTCGAATTTCATGAATTCACTCGCACCCAGATACGTGCTCTTTGCTCAGTCCCAGGGCAGGGAAGGGGCAACCATTTTCTCCCTCTTTATACCTTGCAGTTCAGTTATTTGAACATGAAGCTCTTGCAGGTACTCATCCTAATATTTGACTGTTGTTTGACATGTCTAGTGAATGCAGCAGCATGTAACGAAATGGGTGTCTTGA